AAATGTTTCCTCCCAACAAATAAAGCTTTAAAACATCAGGTATGGCCTGCTGTTATCATATCAGCATGTTTTGATTTCTAATAGATAATATTGCTGTAAATAGTGCTAYGAGCAGCTCAAACCTTGACTTGATTAACTTGACATTCAAATTTGTCACTCTGCTACCTAATGGACTGCCTACATTTACTGAGCAACTGCGGTGTGAATACATATGCATGTGTTCCTGGTGTGCCTCAGCTGTAAATAACAGAAAGGTATTACTAAATGCTGTAAAAGCCTCTTAGGGACAGATTGCAGCAATTCTAGAGAGCCCTRTCAAATGCTATACAGTCAGAGGGAAACATGAAGTGTCTTTGTTTTACTGTGGCTGGGACATGGCAATACTTTTGTTGGTTGATTGGACAAAATGTCAGCTCATATTCTGATTTCTGTCTCTCAGTTAAGMCAGCGAAATCACCTATACTCCAGTGAGAATGCAGCATTGAAGTAACACAGAACACAATTTACATGGATTAATCATCTATCTCTTCATGTCAGCTACAATCTTAAAAATATTGCCTTCTGTTTTTTTCACAGGTCTAGCTTTCTTTCCAGTCAGTTTGGAGATGCACTGTAAATGCAATCTGCTGTTCTGGAAGAAACATTGAGAACATAAAGAAAATGGTATAATAGCTGGAGGGCTCCATATGTTGATGGCAAGGTATGGTGTGCTGAGAAAGAGATAGGATTAGAATTGTTCTAAGTACCTGCATACCTCGTATAATACTACGAAGGAAATAACATTTTCTAAATGCACAGCACTGTGCCAAAAGTGCAGGTGGAGAATCTTTACTTGAACACAGACAGATGGGAAGCTGAAGTTAAGACAGCATTGGAGATATGCACTGTTGTAATTTGAGATTATTAAAAAGCTCCTAGCAAAGCTCCTGAAGGGCCCAATTCTAAACACTACTGCAGAACAGATTGTACCACTGATAAAGGAGTAAATGCAAGTTTCATGCAAAAGTACACTGATCCAGTAGCAGACTTGCTTCCACTAATCAGAAGAAATGGAATTGCATTCGAAGGTGAATGGAATTGTGCTGGGATGGCTATTGTTTACTTGAATTTAGTTTTTTTCCTCAAAAGAGATGCTCAGAAGAGAAATAAAGGAAAAAAAAATAAATGATACCATTTTATGAGCTGTTTGTTGCTGTGCTTTTAGTGTGTAGGCCATTGATGGCAAATAATAAAAACATTCCAAAAGGCTGCAGCAGTGAGGTAAGATTTACCTGGGCAGTCAGGACTGTTCTGAATTTCAATTGGCATCAGTACAAGAAATACTCAGAGATGATTATTCCTGGCCTGGTCTGTGCTTGTGTGTCATCTCTAGTGTGAATATACTCCAGCTGTGTGTATGAGCTGAGATCTGACTACCCATTTAATTCCCAAATATGTCATGCTGCACTCTAAGATGGAGTTGTCATTCACTGGTTAGGTAAAATACTGTCTTCTATTCAAACAACTTTAAAAAGCCATATGTTGTTACATTTGTTTTGTCTTTTTAAAACGTGGAAACTGGAAATGRGGTACAGAGGTGCCTTGGTGAACAGATGCTTTGGTAAGACAAACACTAAATGCATCCACTAAATTAACAAGTTACTGAACTTTTGATAAAACTTAATAAAAATTCACTTTTTTTTTGGAACCAAAGCTTGTCATATCTGACTAGTTTCTTTCTACACCGAAATCTCATTCTYTCTTGAGTGGAACCTGCCTGAATGAAAATAGGAAAAAGTCAGGTGAGAGCTGGGTGCTGTTTGAACAGCTCTGACACATGATATYCTGCCCTAAGAAATCATTATAATTCAACACAAGAGTAATATTGGTGCTTAAGCGTAGCTTGAATTCAGTCCATCAAAAAAGGCTTCTGCCTATCCCGAATTTTTTAAATCATGCCATCTTTCAGCTTAATAATCCTTTAATATCAGGCTGCCACTCAGCTGAATATCCTAGAAGTTAGGTACTTACATATACATGGGCTGTAGCTGTAAATGAGATGTCTTCTGTGGACCTTGATAGCCGTAAGAGTCAAATCCACCTATGAAATCAACTGAAAGGGGGAAAATTGCTTTCATTAGCAGCATCTCTTCAGAACTGATAGGCACTATCATTCAAGAACCACCCAGCACACAGATTATTTTTGACAGGTACCYTAATAATCTGTTAAAATTAGACCAGCTAATTGGGAAGATACAGAAAAAGGGTAAAAAAGTAAGCTAAGGCAAAGTCCCACTTTTTTTTTTCTTTACTTCTAAAATAAATTAAATTTTAAAGCCGCATGAAAACAATAAAGGATTTGCAACAGTCATCTGCCCACCAGAATAGCCACACATCTCTCTTTTTCAAGTAGACCACCTCACAAATACAAAGCAACATGCTGTTCAGACATTATAAGTGCTGAAAACCGTTTATTTATTGGCATGAAKGCATTGCTCCTGACTGTGATTACTGTGTCTGGCTTGCTGTCATACTGTGGCTCAGTAGAGGATGTGAAGGAGCGAGTGCATTGATCCGACTCTGTGTGAGAGACAGAAGTTTCTCTGATTCCCTGCTTTCACATTTGGGTTGAAATGCATGAACAGAGAGTTGGAACAAYTTATCTGAGCTTCAGAGATGAAACTTCACACATGTAAGGAAGCCTGTATTTCTCTCAACGCACTGAAGGTCTGCAGGAAGGTTGTAGGGTGGGACTTTTTTATTAATTTACACAATTGCCAGGTCCCGATGGTCTTCTCATGYTTGTTTTAAACAATTTCCAGGGAAATTCAATCTCATCTGAGCCTAGGACCCCYATTTCTCTGCTACATCACTTTCTTTGCACAGGTAAAAGGGTGCCCTTTGCTTCTTTTGTTCCAGGAGACTCAACTATTGCTTTATAGGGGTTATTTAAGGGAGTTCTCATCCCTGAAATATTGTCTCTTACATCACAGATGTGAATTTGATTTTACTTTGGTAGAAAAGGGCTGAAGAGTTCAGGTATAGAAGTGCATTTTTCACACATCTGGGCACTGCTACTGACAGACTGGCTCTGGTTATTTGATAGACAACAGCTTCTTGTGTATCTAAAATACAGTAACAGTCATGAAGTATAAAAAAAGTAAATTTACATGGTTTGAAAACATCCACAGTAGTTGGACTCCTTAACATTTGCATTTATGAGGTAATGTTAATATTAAGGTACCCCTCAATATGTGCCACACTTAGTCACACTTAGCAATGCAGTTATAAACATTCCAGACATGTGACAAAAAATCAGATTCATGTACTCCTCCATCTTCCATTTACTTTATAAGCAAAGATCTCCCAAAACACTAGACTGGCTGGGTGTAGTATGTCTCCATCACAGACCCACACATGTTGAATCTGTCATTAAGTCCTTCTTTGCTGGCAAGAATGGCCCCTGCAGATCTAATTTAGCCAACTCTGTGCCCTGTGGCAGCATTATGTACTCACCTACCCCAGAAAGATGTGTTACTAAATTAATCCCTGACATCTCWAATGAAGGAGGTTCTATTGCCTCTCTGTGTTGCTTTTCCCTGTGCCTAATTTCCTAATGTCTAATTTAAATGTAATTTCCTGCAAATTAACTACTTATCTACATTTTGGCCTTTTCTCCCTATGGATATGAAGAAAAATGAGCCTCTTTTTTTTCTCTTATGACTGCTTTTAAGCCTTTAAAAGAAGTTTTTCATGCCATCCATAGTTTTCAGGTTTAAGCAAATCTAGTTATTTCAAATTTTTCTGACTGCTCATGTTTTCCAGGACTCTACATTTCAAAGCCTGAAGATACTTCCTCAATTTACTTATGACTTTCTTACAGTGGGGTGCATAAATAGGGACTAACTGGGGCAACTGCCATATAATCTTCTGTGCGTTACCTGAAATAACTCAGGTTTTGGTTTTTTTTGTATATTTGGTTGTGTTTCTTTGGTTGTGTTTCTTTCTCTTGTTTTTGAGGTTGTYCTTGTATTGTGCTGCTTGGGTGTGGTTTCCAATTTCTTTTCTCAAGAGCATCATACAAATGCTCAATAATCAGATCTTCATGTTTTGGCACTRACTGTAGCCTAGCCAAGCAGTCCATATTTTATCTGGAGATGATTGATTCTTCCCCACAGGAGTTCTTTCRCACTTGTCTGTACTGAATTTCACCTTCTTGATTTCAAGACACTTCTCAAGATTATTTTGACTTCTAATCCTATCTTCACAAGTGCTCATACCCTTCCCAKTCTGGTTTAATCTTAAATTTTTACAAATGTTCTCTCCTCTATCCTCATTGTTGTTAACAAAAATAATGAAGAGAATTAWTTCCCTAGCTGAGGTCCCAGTGGGATCCCATCTGAAATGTCATCCCATCTGCTTTATAACTAYATTTCAAATAGAGTTTTAAACAATTCTGTATTCAACCTATGCTGGTTGAATCTGGACCGCACTTCCCTGTCCTTCTTACAAATCTTTTATAGTGTCAAAATCTTATTAAGATCAAGATAAATGCCATTTGTTGCTTTGTACTTAACCACTGTCTGTAACAATCAGAATGCTTTGATCAAAATGTGATCATGTCTTTGGAAGCGTACTAAATTTACAGGCATACAGCACAGAATAAGGATATTGTTTAGTTAAGTGCTAGGCTAGGAGGACCCTTCTCTCCCCGCCATTCAAACACAAAAACTGCAAAGTGTGTTTGCTGCAGGTATGGTTTGTTGTTTGCTTTCCCAATTTTCTTTTCTTTTTGTCACCCTTGATCCCTGACAACACAAGTCAGAAAATAACTGCATTGGATCGAGTGTCTCACTGTTGTCAACMCATGTCACTTGACAGATATTGCTTAAAGACATTTGTCCACCTTTGCATTTCTTCTGCACTTCCTCAGACCCTTCGAGCAACCTGTAAACCATTATCAGTAGGCTGCAGGCATAGACACTCTGCTTTGCAGATRTGGGGCTAAAGGTCTTCAGGGATGTTTTCAGAAAGCTAAACCAAAGCGTTACAACAAAGCTTTCTTTGAGCAGAATGAGTCTGTGTGGGCATGAGGGAAGATGTGTGCTGAATATCTCTTCAGGCACTGTGGTTTTGCCCTGCTGCACAGAGCAGCACAGAGTGTTAACAAACCAGATTGTCAAGGGACAAACCAGGGAAGATTGTGGAGACATTTCTGCATTTGGCTCACTACAGAAGTTCCCATRTGTGTAACCAAATGATGGCAGGGCAGAGAGCACTGCCATGACCTCGCTGTGGACATACAATGGCTTCTTACAGGCAGCAACAAGCTTTGCAAGGTAGGTAAAGGGAGGTAATAGAAAGTGAACACCAATACAAAAAGATTCCATCAATTTCTTTGCAGCAGGGTTTCTTCCTCATGGCAGCTGTTTCTCAGCGCTGCAAACCCTGTGGTGTCCAGACTGTGCTAAAAGCTCCCTGTGGACTCTGAGCTAGTTTCTTAAAGCATGCAGCAGGCTGCCCTTTCTGCAGGCTTTTTATCCTGGCTGTGCCTGAAAGGTCACCAAAAGTGTCGTGCAACTGATATATTCCTGGCAGCCATAACATCAGATGAATAAAACAAGGCTCATTAGCTGAATCTGCACAGAGCCTTCCATCTTAGCCTCATACATCAAACACTTTTTTTTGACTATTCTATTATACATTTCTCTTACATGTCACTGTTTTCACRAGTGGGTCATGTCATGTGTCACTTTAGGAAAAGCACACGTGAATATACAAAGAGAATCCCATTCCTTTGGTGGTGGGTTGACCCTGGATGAACATCAGTTCTCCACCAAAGCCACTTTGTTGCTCCCCTSCTCAGCCAAACAGGAGAGAGAAGTATGACAAAAGTTTCATGGGTCAAGAYAGAGACAGGGAGAGATCACTCAGCAATTACCATCACAGGCAAAATAGCCTTGAATTTTTACCAAAGAAGAGCAGTATAATGAGAAATAGACCCAAATAATAAACCTTCTTCCCAGGCTTARCCTAACTCCTGATTCTCTGCCTCCTCCACCCCAGTGGTGTAAAGGAATGAGGAATGGGGGTTGTGGTCAGYTCATCACATGTCTCTCTGCTGTTCCTTCCTCCTCAGTGAGAGGACCCCTCACGTGTTTCCTCTGCTCCAGCGTGGGGTTCCTCCTATAGGGGACAGTCCTCCATAAACTTYTCCAATGTGARTCCTTCCCAYGGGYTACMATTCTWCATGWACTKCTCCATTGGGTCCCTTCCTTGGGGTGCAGTCCTGCTCTGGTGGGGGTCTCCTGTGGTGTCACAAATCCTGCCAGCAARCCTGCTCCAGCAGGATTCTTCTCTCCACAGGTCCACAGATCCTTACAKKAGCCTGCTCCAGCACAGGCTTCCCACAGGGACACAGCTTCTTTTGGGCATCCACTTGCTCTGGAATGGGATCCTCCAGGGGCTGCAGGGGAACCTCTGCTCTGGTGCCTGGAGCACTTCCTCCTCTGTTGTTACAAGTGTAACACAGATAGGACATATGGCTCAAAATAAGGGACATATTTTCTATCAATCAACACCCACAGGGATGTGAAGTTTCAGCCTCTGCTGATGGTCAGAGTCCCCACTGTTTCCGATGTACATCAGGATGACAGGATGAGAGGCACAAATAGGTTTCTCACTTTTTATTTCTGGAAGTCTGTGGTATGTAGAAGGACCATTAAAATGCAATGCACAAAAARGACCCCATTAGCATGGATTTGATAGGGAAGAAATTTCATTTTAGAAAGTTCAGGGTGAGAAAAATTAAAGCTGTTCAAATCAACAGATGGACAAAGAGAAAGGACTGAGTATGGAATAAAAGCAACATCTTACTGTAGAAAGCAAAAGGAAAGATTCTTAAGAGAAACCAGAAGACAAGACTCTATTCTACTTACAGAAATTTTCCTCTGTAACATATAAACACAGAAGCACAAAGATTCAGGTCCTCTAATACATATGCTGGTAACACCAGTGACTTCTGTGAAGGAATGCTAATTTACATTAGCTTAGGATCCACCCCAAAGAATCACGTAGGCCAAATGTTTATATAAATGTGACTGACACTGTGAA